GGATAGAAGCGGAAGCGAGCATTCTTGTTAGGTTTTTAATATGATGATCATGTTTCTGCATGGTTTTCTTTGGTTTTCGTATCGATTCGTTGCTCTGATCCTTCTGCTAGACTGGATTTTGGTGATTATAGTTTTTTTAAGAGTTCATTTGCACATTTTGAAGTTTTTCTCTGATTTTCTTGGTTTCTTTCGGCGCAGGTTGATGGCAAATACATCTTTTACGAATGTTGTTATAGGGGAGAAGGGGGTTGATGGTAAATCTCATTGTTTTCCCAATCAGTTTCATGATTTCTTTGATCAAGGTGGTATGAGAATGATTTTCTTAAAAAGGCGGGAAGAAAGGGGGGGCTGAACTAGCTTTAAAATTGGGAATTGTTGGCAAATTTACTTACGGTCATTCTAAGATGGATTTAATTCAAAAATTCTTTAATAATCTTAAATTATTGGGTTATTGGAATGTTGGTCTTTGGATGTTCGTCATATTATTACTAAGCTTGATTGTGAATAGGATTATACTACATTATTTAGTAACAATGTTTGATTTGTGGAGAATTCTCAAATGAAATTTTTAAAATTGACTCTGGATTTTTTATCTTATTACTGGACTTCCTGTTGTTCTAGTTTGGTTAACAATCCTTGGTTTAAGGTTGCATTATTTTAATTATAAAGAGCTTTATCCTTTGGGTGAAATATTTGGGAAGCTTATGAAGGTTGATATGGCTACACATAATTTTAGTAGGCCTTCAGCGACAAGAATATTAGTTGAGCGAGATATTACTTCTCCTATGGCTGAGGAGGTTTGGAAGCTGAATTTAAGCCTAAGCATTGCAATAAATGTAGATTTTTTGGTCATATGGTTGATAATTATTTCATTGCTCATCCAAAGTTGAGAATGCAATGAAATAATGTTGGGTTAGGAAAAGGTAAAGAAAGAACTAACTAATAATTCTCAACTTAATTTGGTTGGGATTATCCACCGTAATGAGACTGAGGAGCAGCAAGCTAGAAACTATCTTAGAGAAGATGAAATGGAACAAGTTTTATTTTGTAATGGACAAGGTCAGAAAAATGGCTCACATGAAGTTTTGCATGTGGAGGATGATCCTTCGCCAGAAGCTGTAGATGGTCAATATGGGATTTTAAATAGAAGAAATGTTATTCAAAATAAGGAGAGGGGAATGATAGGTATTCATGAGGAATAAATTGAAGAGATTAATACTAGATAAGTGGAACTCATTGTTGCTCAACAAGACTTTGAAGAGAAATGACAGATCATGGGTTCTAAGAGAAAAAAAGGATAACTAAGTAGAGAACTTAGTAATATGAATTCAAATTATGTGTTGGAAATCACCAAAAGATCAAGTATTGGTATTTTAGCAAATGTTAATGATGGGGCTTCTTTTAGGATTACTAGTAGTGCATCCTTTTCTCATTAGGAGTGTTAAGGGCATTGCTAAGAGTAAGCCCCAAACAATATGTGCAAGATTCATAACTTAAGATGTTTTGCAATTTTAGAACCTATGATACATGTGGAGAATATTAACAAGATTGTTAGAAAGTTGGACTATTTAAAATTATTTATAATTGCAATTATAAAATATAGTTTTTATGGAAGAATGAAATCTAGTGAATTTGTTGGTTGATAATTCTCAATTTCTACATATTCAGATTCTTCTTAATCAACAGATTGTACAATTATCTATTGTTTATGCAGTGTATTCAGCTACAAACAAAACTCTTTTATGGGAGGATTTGAATTTGATAACAACTTCTATTAGTTGTTCTTGTTTAGTATAAGGGGATTTGAATGTTATTGCTTCTTCTGTTAGAAAGATGTGTGAAAGAGCTCATTGTTATAAGGTGATGGGGACTTTTAAAAATAACATTATTGATGTGGGGTTATATGAGACTAATAGTATGTTTATTTGGCAAACGTGAGAATAATGGAAAGATTAGATAGAATTCTGTTGAATAAAGAATGGATAGACAAATTTATTATTTCTGAGGTGTCTCACTTAAATCGCATTGGCTCGAATCATCCACCTCTATTATTAAGGGCGGAGGAATTTTAATAAGGTTGGTGTTTCTAATTATAGATTTCTTGATGTTTGGCTTTGAACATGAAAAATTTCTATAAGTTGTGAAAGACAATTGGGTGGTTGAAAATAGCTCCCCCATGGTTAGACTTCTGGTTATTACATAAGATAATGACAAAAACATTGAATGAGTGGAATTGGAATGTCTTTGGAGATGTAAATAAAAAGGAAGTAAATTTTAAGTTGGTTAATAATTTAGAGGTCGACTATGAGGATGGGATTGTGAGGAAGGCTGAAACATTGAATGCGCAGCAATTTCTTGATCAGGCAATTCAAGTTTAAGAGGAATTCCTTAAGCATAAGTCTACCTATTTAGATCATGTGAAGGGTGATAGAAATACTAAATAATTTCATGCTTGCATTAAAAAATGAAAGTCGTCGAATACAACTCTTAAGATAAAAGATGATTTAGGGAATTGGTTATTTTCACAAGATGATATTGCACTGAGTGATGTAAACTTTTTTAGTGAAATTTTCAAAGGAAGGGAGGTGGATCTCTCTATTTTTTTAAGCTGATTTGTTTCTTAATATTAGTGAGTTCTAAGGGAGGTGGATCTCTCTATTTCTTTAAGCTGATTTGTTTCTTAATATTAGTGAGTTCTTTGGCTTTTCAGTTTTTCTTCACAACTAATAGAGGGTGATAATTTCTAATAGAATAGTTGGTCTGCTTTTACTTTTGCTTTTTATATCAAATATTGGATATAGTGAAGACTCATTTGGTGAATGTTATATCAAATCTTTCATGAGCAGCTTGATTTATAAATATAAATATTTTGGATGCTTTATTATAAAACTTTAAGTGTTAAATATGTAAATATAGGAATTAAGTGGCATGCATGTAAAATTTTAAATCTTCCATTCCTAACTCCTAAGTTCTCCAACAAGTTCATAGCTTCCAAGGAACTAGAGGGTCGTTCATCGGATAACTTCGAGATTCCGGCGAAGATGAAGGTGCTCGTCGCCGTGAAGCGCGTCGTGGACTATGCCGTCAAGATCCGCGTCAAGCCCGACAAGGTACGGACATCTCCCATTTCCTCTCTCTTTCTCTCTTTCCCATCATTCATCGCTGTCCGTGGAACGCCATGATGCATATACCTTGCCGCCGGTCAGAGTGGAGTGGAGACGAGCAACGTGAAGATGTCGATGAACCCCTTCTGTGAAATTGCCCTTGAGGAGGCCCTCCGCATACGCGAGAACGGCGGAGCATCAGAGGTCGTCGCCGTTTCCATTGGCCCCACTCAGTGCACCGAAACCCTGAGGACGGCGCTGGCCATGGGCGCTGATCGTGCCGTTCACGTGGACGTTGGACCTGCTACAGTCTTCCCGCTCTCCGTTGCAAAGATTCTGAGGGCCATCGCAGAGGCGGAGAAGCCGGGACTCATGATCCTCGGCAAACAGGTAGTACAGTTTATGGTTTCTTGCTGATTTAATCAGTAAGTTTTACGGATTTATAGTGCATTCGGTGAACAGGGCACATATTTTTTTCGCATTTTTTTTTAATATTCTTGTTTCGATTGCTTGCATGAATTGTCCAGAAGGGTTTTCTACTGGCCGCAGGGATTCTGCAGCTCCAACTATTTTAGCTTATTAAACATTCAACGAGGGTATGCTTGTGATTGGGTTAATTAGTGCTTTCTATTGTTGTCTGCTAGGGGGCTGTTTGGTAGATGCTTTTAGGACTTATCATTAGATTTTCAATGTGAGAGTTCCTATGCTTGAATTTAGTAATCAACATGCCTGTATTTTTAATTAACTCTGCTGCTTATACACGTCACTTGATAATTTTATCAAATTGCGGTGACTATTGTAAAACATATATGACATTCGTTCTAAATCAAATTAAATTTGTTAGATAGATATCAAATTAGATGATTGGGTGGGGTGTATATTAAATGGACATTGATATTTGCGTGCATCAAATGAAATTTATTGAAGAATTTAGAATAGAAAATTACAGTTTTTATGGTTACTCACCAAGTACATTTTTGGAATTATTCACCCATTAAGTTTTGGTCACTCACCAAACAAAGCGTAATACGTCACTCAATTCAAAATAACAAGTCCTCTCCATGTTAGTTTTCTATATCCCAAACATGAGCTTGATGGATAAGTGCTTGTTGGTTGGAGGATATATGATAGTATAAAAGTACAATTAATAGTCTAGTTCATAGTTGCTACTTCATCATTAATGGGCCCCTTTTGAGCAAGTAATTCATTGAATATTGTGGTGAATTTTTCTTTATATTGAAATAAAATTCTTCTATCCAAGTTCTAATTTTCCTTTTTTTTTAGCCATTTACAAATTTTTATCAACATGATGATTGGAGGAAAGAATGAAGTACTCATTTCATGTTAATTGTAGTTTCCAAACTTTACTAATCTACAAACTAGTTCATTAATTGACTATTTTAAAGACAAACTTCATCTGCGATCGTCATTTATTTGGCCAATTATGTTTGATTATGTGGACTTTATTTTTGTTCATGGTAGCATCTAAATGCTAGCCCAAGGAGGGTCTTATGAAGATTCTATTGCTTTATCATTTATCTTCTTAGACATGCTCTACAAATTTTTATTAAATGGTTGTGATGAAGAGATGCATCAAACTTGAGGATTCTTAGATCAATATCTCATCTCTTTTACATTCAAGAGATGCAAGAAGGACAAAATTGAATGAAAATTTGAATATAAGGAGATGCATTTTGATTGCAAGCCTCTGTTAAAGAAAGCAGAATTTGAAACCCACACAACCTATGTGATATTGGTTGTACATTACTCTTTTATTTATTTATTTATTCTAAAAATTGACTTTTTCTTCAAGAAGCATTTTTGTGAGTATATCCAACCCTCACCTTATGCCAAATTGGCGGGAACACCGTGCTTCAAGTTTTGCCCCTCCTTGACC